AAACATTTCGAAATGGAGCAACACGTAACTACACGCTCATATTATTGGTGGAGGTTACCACGACACTATGGCAACCGGGTCGGCTCACTAATTACAACCGTTACAACGAAAAGCTTTCACGGCAACGCGTCGCGGCGCTTTATACATATAGACAGGTCAGCGCCAACGATAAAACTAGAAAACTCAAAAAATAATTCAGTGGAACTGATAGTGGGAACCGACAAAAAACACTGCTAGGTTTTTACGTTATAAAGAATTTTATATTTACATTTCTATGTTTTTAATAAATTCCATTTCTTCCTCTTATTATCACAATGTGTAAAAGATCAAAGCTCAAGCAGGATAGTAAATAATTTTATTAATGTAAAACCAATACCGACGTTTCGCCTCTACTTAGTAATTTTTTTTTTCAACGTAGGCTTTTACTGTCTAAATGTCTTACATTTCAAACATTAATAAGACATTTAGATTGTAAAAACATACCTTGAAAAAGATTGTCAACCAGAGGCAAAACGTCTGTGTTGCACTGTAAAAATGAAGGGTAAGCATTTATAATAATTAAAGATATCTACTACAAATAATATAAAACACTAATGAATACACTTACATAGGAGTGTGTCAAGGTTGTGCTATGGGTTCCGTGATATTTAATATTTTAATTGATGAAAGGTGGGCGAGGCAAGCCCTAGGCAAATCGAAAATAGGAAATAACTTTAAAATAGTCAACTCAATTACCGAGACTAGAATAAAATGCTAAGATCGTTAACCATCATCAATATCAATAAAAAAAAAAAAAATGGTATTTATAGAAATGGATGACGAATAAAAAAAAGGAAGAAATATGGAAACTGTTTATCGAACGATAGAGGTGGTTTATGAGCTCGAATATCTTGACATTTGTTTTAACTCCAGAAGTAAGTACACAGAAACGTAATAGAAATAAGAGCGAAGGTCGAGAAAGGCATAAAATGCTGCAAATATAACATGGGTGTATAAGTTTTTAAACGGTAGGAAAGAGATGTATAAGAAAGGGCACAGGACGGGAAAAAGTTTCGAGGAAATGATAAATATATGCTATATGGAAAATAAGTTAACAGGTCATTTAGTGTGTTATAAAGAATAAGCAATGAAAAGTTAAAACATAAAAATATAAACTTTATTGATGAGTGCGAGGTGATGCAAATGTTCTGGATTTGTAGTGTTTACTAACTGACGCATTCAGGGATAACTTGAAAATATGTGATTTTTTCAGCCAGATTTATATAAATTTCAGAGAATGCGTTTTCTGTAAGAGCTTTAACGTTCTTTGTAAACCCTATTAGTACCTACATTTTATTGAAACACCAAACTTACTCTTGTTGTATATATAATCATGATGCAAAACATAAGACGATGTGAGCAAATTGAAAAGCTTCGCAAGGGGCATTCAATAAAAATGTACATAAATAAAGATTATACATACCTACTCATTTAATGCCAGCAACAAAAGTTGGAATTAATTAATTTTGATTTTGCAAAGGTACCTATCTACACTTCAACTGACTATTTTTATTGAAAACAGACGATTATTTTTATCGCTTTATTTTATTTTAATAACAATTTATTTATTTTGCTGATGTATAACTAGAAAAACTCACTGTTTATAACGTCCACGGCATAATTCAATGTTTTGAAAAAATATAACATTGAGTAACATTTTTTTTTAAATCCCGATGATACATTGCGATAAAAGTGCATCTTGCAGTAACAAATTCCTACTTTAAAAATCATTTTTGTGGTATCATTCGCTATATTTTACATCAACAGACAGTCACGTAAGCGTGTGGGAGATTGTAAAGATTATGATCCCTTTTCTTGGTTAAAAAAAATTTCAAAAGATTTTTCCATCAATCGACGCACACGTGGTGCGGATGCGGACCGAAACGAATATGGGAAAATAATAAGGAATAAAAATTCATGATCGTAACCAATTATAAATTTCCAGGACGTCGAACAGGAATCAAAACGCGATAGGGGTAGGTAGTAAGATAAACGAGTAGATTTCTGTCGAACGGGAAGGGAGTCTGTGACAACCCCTTGCCTCTTAGTAAAGACTGAAACGAATTTGGGCTTAATGGTGTAGAATTCACTATAAAAGCAAAATAAGTCACTTTAATTTTGACAAATCTCTAAAGATTTTGAACATTAAATGTAAATAAGTTTTCTGCTGGTCAGCTGGAGGGCTAGTTTCGCGACAAAATCGACTAATTTGTATTATCACTCAGCGACAAATTCACGAACGTCTTACCTTGCCTATAGAACTTACATTGTACTTACTGGATGGGAAGGTAGAAAATTCATGTTTTTCCGTTAGTAAAATAACACCAACGCTAAGTAAATAGTAGATTTGCAAATTTGGGATAAAAATAAAATAAAGTTGGGATGAAACTCACTTTACTAATTGAGTGTCTAAGTTACAAAATTTGTGGCATTAAAGATGAAATATTAATCTTCAACCTATAAATTATAATAGATTTCTCACCCACCCTGTACCTGGTATTACATCAAATTGTACCTATGCATTTAGAAAGTGTCCTCACGATCAGTTTGTTTTCTCTTTCGTAGGGTTACGTCTGAATAACAATAAGCCGAAAAGAATTAAATTCTAGATAGATAATAAGCTAAGAGTTATTAGAGGGGGCTGAAATTTATCCACCTACTTCACATTGACATTACAACCCCCGTAGGCCTACATTACGTNTTTAAATTATAGATATGTGTATTTTAAGTTTTCTCGAGATTCGAATAAATTTCGTAAAATATTTCGCTCGAGCGTAGCGCATGAACATCTTTCAAGTATAGGAAGCATGGATTCCCCAAGCATCAGTAACCCGCTCTATTAAGAAGTGCCGCAACAAAAAACAATGAATTTAGCGCAATGGATGTGTTCTAAAACTGAGCCATATCTTTTTCTTATGAATGTGTTCAAATCTTGATAATTTATTTGCATAATTCATGTATGTTCTTGAATTAATGTCTAACTTAAACTGATGAAACACAAGATTAAAATTTTTTTAAAAATTTTGTAATAAATATCAGGCTCCTCCTGTCCGTGGCATTTGGTCAGTTCTGTCACAATACTGTTAGATTATAAGAAATTAATATTCAGGACGTAAAAATACACGGATAGGAACCGTTTAAATTCTATATGTTCAATAATTGTATAATTGATAGAATATTAAGAAAACTTAAAAACAAATGATCAAATGACCAAATTATATCTTCTAGAAAGTACTAATATAAGGTTCGATTTTTTCTTATTGAGAGCTGAACTGTCGCTTACGACCATTCCCACATTATACTCACATTTGTGAGCGCAATTATAAGTGACATATTAAATATTATTTTTTTCACAAGCATCGGAATTTTCACGTCCGATCGAATATAAATGGCACACCCATGAACAGTGCATGGGAATAGATGTAATAATACGCACGCACTTGGCTGCTTCGTGTGGGAGCGCGGGACCACAGTCGAGAAGTTCGACGGTGGCTCACTGGGTACCTTGCGGGACCTCCAGAGCAACTATTGTCCGTGCTCGGTGACGTTGACGCGTCCAAATGGGAAATCAAGTGAAAAACTCACTTCGATAATATTTCTATTAAGTTTCGTCAATAAACGTTTAAAATTTCGAGAACAGTGATTTTTTTAATAACTATTGCAGTTTATTTACAGTTTCACAATTTTAAAAAACAACGGAGCACTATTGGACGAAAGTTCTGACATCCCAAAAAATTATACATAGAATTATTATTAGTACCAAAATCAGTTGAATTTTATTTTCCAATATTCTTTTGATATAGAAAACATATATCCAAATATTATATATATCCAAATTAAATTAGCTCGATACCATACTTTCAAAATAACTTTAATAAAGAAAAAAATTATGCGTCAATCAAAAACGTTTAGAAAAAGTGAAACTTCTCGAGATTGTGCATACTTTTACCTATTTGTTAACAGTTTAAGCCTTACCAAAGTGCTTAAACTTGCTTTTTAAATTGTTATTGATGCATTTAATTCTTATTTTTGTCAAATATAGTACCTACTTCCGATTAATTTCGTGAACTTCAAATACATGTTATTCTTTTAATTTTTGTACGAAAATGATACATCTACAGTTTACAAGTTTACGACTATAACAAAAAACAATAGGTATTTTTATTTAATTTACTCGATAGAAGATATATTTTAAATTTATAATTTAAAAAGAATACACCCAAACCCGGGCGCGAATAACCCTAGTCAATAGCATAGAAGCCGGATATTTTGTAGACCAATTACTAATTAGCCACACGCCGTTGCTTTGCGTGTCCTTTGTCTTCCTTGAACAACCCTTTTTCCGTTCCCGCAAATAATCATTTAGAAAAGAAAAAAAATGACATTAAACGCACAACAGTATTCACTACAAATGCAATATGAAACATATATATAGGTGATACCTTTCACAAAATGTTATGTTTGATTTATTATTTCAGTTCCACTGTTCATAATAGCTGAACATATCTAAATCAGACATTGAGTTCAGATCGATCCATTTAGCCAGCAGCATATTTACGAAAGAGCTGGACGGGATATAACCAAAAGCAACCAATTCTTTTCACATTAATTGCATTTTCATACGAACAAAATTAATTTCAACAACAATACATCCGGTTTATAAGATTAATTGTTTACATATTGTAGTTGATATTGTAACGAAATGAGCCTGTCATGAAGACATCTTTCCCTTTGTCTTTTAATAAAATCATTAAGGTAACTAGTACCTAACATCATGCGATGTACAAAAAATATATATTGTATAATTATTTACCTATATAGGTATCCACGTTTAGGAAACTCAATGTTTGCCCGGTAGATAGATATAATTAAAACTATCATGGCAAATCATGTTTTAAGGATAAAACACATGCCAAAATAAAATCAATAAGCAAAATATGACCAAAAAATCGAAATCCTACCTTTGCTGCCCTCTCTAACGATGTCTCTTACGATCACCTCCAACTCGTATTGAAATTATTGTAGACTCCAAATAAACTATTACCTGAAAAAAAAAAGAAATAGACATTCTAATTCCTACCACATACCTACATACCTATATGTATATCACAAACTAAAGCATGCGCCAACATTACGAATATAGGTTAAATTAAAAATATATATACGTAAGTATAGGTAATAAATAATAGATATAGGTAATAGTACAGATTTATTACTGTTAAAACGGAAACAACAAAAAATGAACATGTATTCCATAACCAACCCAAATTGTAGAAAATAGTAGGTAGGTATCATATTATTATTCACACCTTCAATGATTACAAGCCATTGTTAAGCAATTATACAAACCGCAGGTCGTGCAAGGCAAGGAATTACTTACCGATTTCATTAATAATTAAACTTTAATACCACTAATTGTTCATACACAAAATATCACTCGAGACGCCACCACGATAAAGAAACCGACGATGTGAAACAAGATGGACGACAATAACCCCTTTTTCACAGTATGCCATAGCAATTTTTTTTATAAATTATCATAGATAACTATCACTGTTACTGAACCGCAGTCAATCAAGATCACTGGCTAAATTCAGAATACTGAAACAAAACAAACGACAGAGCCGCATATCCATAAATTACTATAGATAATATTTGACATGTGACAAAAATCCGGAAGAAACACTAAACTTTTAATCTAAATCAATTAATTATTAAAAACAAAATGAGTTTTGTTTCACATGATAAACGCTTTTTTTTTTTATAATATTAATTATATTTTCATGCACAATTTTAGCCTTTGCTATTATTTTGAATAACTATTTTTTAGCGTTTCGTAGAAAAAAAAGGCAAAAAAGGAACCCTTGTTCCGCTATTTCGTTGTTGGTCCGATTGTCTGTATGTCACAGTTAATTACCTAGGCAATTAATATTTACTTTACCCAATATAAATATCGATATTAAAAGCATTCTTTCCTAAATTTCGTAGGTGTTTTTATTCTATTTTTAAAAAGGGGTTCCAAATTAAGTGTCGAAATTTAAAAAACTAGGGTCACATGGGCTAACATATGAAAGAATTCTCCTTACACATTATTAAATTAATTTCTTTTCAATTTAGAGCATTTAAGTTTTGATTTAAAACCTAAAATGTAGAAAAAATAAACTCCTCTCTTATCTCAGAAAATTTCTGGCTTAAAAATTCAATTTACGCAGACAAGCAAATATTTAAATGATGTCTGATATTTATAGATATTTTGTAATGGATAGAAATTAAATAAATTTTCATATTAATACTATATAAATTAGAAGAATTAAAATTTTTCGATATCGTTATACTTACAAACGCGATTCGATAATCAGATACGAAAAGTCTCGGCGGAGCACGATTTAAACTTGCTTTTGTCCGATTTTTATTTCTCACTAGAATAATTGTTTTGCATTTTTATAAATGAAAAAAAAAAAGTAGTACATAAATCGCACTGCGCAATCGATGTTATCTCACGGGTTACGGTTTTTATGAAAAGGCATAAAATCAGCTCAACGGTTAGAGATCGCAAACGATCTTTGCGGTAGGGGTCGTACTTCAGTTTCCGGCTGCATCGTCAAGTACCTTTTCATTTCGGTATGACTACAACAATAATAAAAGTAATAAAAAGGCTCCGACATTAAAAGAAAAAAAAAACTAAAAAGAGAACTAATGAGGGACAAATTTTAAAAAATACCGTCGGTACTCAACGACAAACGAAGTGAGAGAACAAGTACCTCCACGCACCACTTTACAAACGCATGAGTACCTACCTAGGATTTATCAAGTTAGTACTATACAGGGTGGCCCATCAAGGACAATCGTTTTTGGCAGCAGAATATTATAATTGAGCGAATACTATCGTTAAAAAATATTTAGTTAAGTATAAGAAAATATTAAATCTAAGCATAATTAGTTTGGTAACGTTTTTTGTTTGGTTTAAAAAAAGGACTACTTAAAGATGTTGATTTTCTTCTAATTCCACCACAAAGATATTAATGTATTATAACCTACATTTGTTGCATAATTAATTATATACTTAAGCATATTTCTATTTAAATACTGATAAAATAGTATGGTAATTATGCAGAATTGGGGCTCCAGACGAAAATCGTTTCAAAAATTTTTTCTTCTCTTCATTATACATAGTAGAATTAGATATTGGAAGATGGGGGAGATTGAATAAATAAAAAAAAAAATTTCGAATGACAATTTTCCAAAATTCAAATCACAGTTCTAAACTGTAGGTAGGGGAAGAGATGGGTGAGGACAACAGGAGAAGAAGGGGGGTTAAAAGTTATACAAATTCTTTTATTAATATTGAAAAAAAGAAACAGTTAATGCATACAGCATATACCTTATGGTGCATGCGCCTCAAATATAATTATTGAACCCTTAGAAATGACCAGAAATCGATGAAAAAATTTTTGGAGCGATTTTGGTCTGGAAGCCCATTTCTAGGAATTGTATGAAATTCTGATATTGTACTAGGAAATTAATAAAACTAATGCTTTCTGTAATAAAATACTGTAAGATATCAGCCTGCCTCAATCTACCTAACCAATATAGGTAATTATCCAGAATTGGGTTAATTTTGAAAAATTATCATTCAAGAATTTTTTTTTAATTATGAAGTCATAAAAAGCCGTCTCCCCCACCTTCTAATATCTAATTCTATGAATTCTAGAATGACTGGAATAGAATTTTGGAGCGATTTTGGTCTGGAGCCCCAATTCTGGACAATTACCAATAAAATATCCAGTATAAATACTGATATCACAGTCAAGAGGGTAGTAAATAGATACAGAGCCAATATCAACGTTCCGATTTTGGTGGGATACTGTCAATGTTTCTTTCCGGAAATTTCCTCAACATGTTATATGTATTCATTATTACCAAGGCAACACTCATATGGTTGCTAGGTACCATTTAAATAATAATGGTTAAGTGGGCAATTGTAATCGGACGTCCTGTATATATAAATTTTCCGCAAACACCTAAGCAAGTATTAATGCTGCAATAAAATGCACGGAACAAAGGTCTCGTTTCCGAGCGAATGCGTCGACAAGAAGTGCTAGGAGCCGGGGGGCCTCCTGGAGACCCAAGAGCACTCGTCGCGACGCGGGTCCGCTACAAGAGCTGCGGCGGCACATTGTGTGACCATGCTAATGCCCATTCGCCCCATTGTGCCCCTCCGACCGCGCTCGAGGACATCTAGTAGGTACCTCAACGCTATGTACCTACTCGTTTGCTAACTGCACACATGCCAATTACTTTTGACTTTTCCTCATTCTTTTATCAACAAATTTAATGCCAGTTGGTTTCGTCGGTGTTTTCCACATGTAGCACATTATTTCGACCTTTAAAACCGTCCTCAATTCAAGTGCACTTAATTGATCACGATCAAATGTGAAAGAAAATTGACCTCAAGGAAATTATTATTGCTGATGACGATAATCAATACAAACTGACATGTATAGTGTGTAACTACTTACACTAAAATGCACATGTTCATGGGCAGTCTTAATTTATCAAAGAAATTCATAAAAAAAATCAACAAAACAAACATCCGTGGTCAGCGATGTGTCGAAATCGTCGGACGTAGACAACAATTTCGATCATTTTAGGTCTCATCAGCACGGCGCCGCCGCAAGCAGTTCTGACAGCACACCGACTAATTTACTTACTGTCTTTAAACAGCATTTAATTTCAAATGCAAAATTCTGTTTATCATTTAATTTTTTAATGAGTGGCGAAATAATTATTAGACAAAAAATAAAATTGATTCGTTCATATAAAATAAGTTAAAATGATAAAAAAAAATACGACCACTGACGGATGGCTACAACGCTTTAAGGATGTTTGGGAGGTATGTCAAAATGCTACGAGACAAATAAAAATTTGGAAGAACGTTCCTCATTCAATTCTAAAACTCCTGTAAAAATTACAAATCGATTCACTAAACCGTTAAAAAGTTATTGAAATTTTAAAAAATTGTAATTTTACACGTCATTTTATGGAGATTCGTTAACCGAACAGATTAAATTTATTTTTATTAACAGAAAAAAAGCTACCAGAAATTTCAAACTTTTATAATAAGTAACTTGAACTCTGGAGAATCACTTTAGCGTAAGGTTATTCAAATTCACTAAATGGTTATCGAGGAAAAAATGAAAAATTAGCTGAAAATCTCGTTTTTACTTGATAATATAATGATAATATTTATAATTGTCTGAAATAAATGCAATTTTAAAGTTTTAATTATTATTTAAACATATTAAAAAGTTTTACGCTCATTATTAATAGAGATTGAAACTAAATATTTTTTTGTTTCTAAGTTGAAAACAAGGCATATTCACTGCCAAAAGTCAGATAAAAATTTTCCGTATTGTTCGTTATTTCTTATTTTATTCAAAGTTTTCGGTCAAATTCCAAATTTTCTCTCAAACCCTACACTTTCTTTTTAGTATAGATAGTATTTATTTACCTCATGATATGCTGCAAAACCTAATTAATCACGAATTTCTAATTTTATGTACTCTTGTCTCCGATTGTACTTCCCAAACATCCTTAAAAAACGTTTTTTTAATTTTTTTTTGAGGAAAATAAATTATCTTTTTTATTTTAACTATAACTATTTTTTAATGTTTTATATTTTTATGGAGGTATCGTCATTTTGTCAATTACGTTGGTAAGGTAAATATAAATACATCGACTTTGTGAACATAAATTGCACGCAAAATCTTTATGTCAAAAGAATTTAGGAATGTATGCATTTGCATTTTTAAATTAAATATAATATGCTCTTTATCACAAGACAGTGAACGAACATGTTAGTAAAGTTCAAAAATAGGACATCAAAAAAAAAAAAAACAAAACAAATTCTTTTAATTCTAGTGCCATTTCCATTTTATTTGACTTAATTACAGTTTGTGGCGCCAATTTTTACATACGTCTAAAAATTGCTGTTATTATTATATTACGAGTTATATAAAATAAAATATTTTTTCATAGAAAAATACATTCGTAGCTGTTTCAAACACCAAACACATCGTATGGTCGATATGTTTCAAATTAAAATTACTGCATTATATGTGAGAAAAAGTAACTAAAAGAATGAAAGGGAAAAAGTACAACTTACTTTTATCAAATGTAAAAAAAAAGGTCTATCTTTTGTAGTTGAATCGGTTGTTGGACGTCTCGTGCCTACCTCTGTAGGGTTCTGATGGTCTCCTATCTCCGTATCTGGCCCTGCCTTCGTCAGAACCACTGTTGCCACCATTATTGTTATTATTATGATAAGGGGGTCGAAACGAATAATAATTAGAAGACGGTCTACTGCTGCCCCTACTACTATTATAGCTATTATTAGTATTCGATCCGTATCTATTACTATTCGTGCTAGTGTTATCACTTTGATAATTTCCTCCACTTTGATGATTTGCAAAATTATTCAAAGAGGAGTAAGAGTTCGCGACATAATTGTAAAGAGACGCTTGATTCTGGTGCACATCGTACTTTCGGGACTGTTGAAAACCTGGAAGAATAGAAAAAACCCTTTTACTGGTTCCTAATTTAAATTGTGATTAGAAATTCAACTTAATCTATGATCTATATTCCGACCGTTTTTTTGGAATTTGAAATTCATAATTTTTTACTGAAAGGATAAATTAGATAATTTTAAATTATTCGAATTATCAATGTTGACAGGTAATGGTTGTATCAGATTATCGTTAAGCGTATCACAAATGTAATTTTTGAAAAATATTTTCAGCCAGATTAATTTTCTTTTTACAAGCAAATGTAAGTAACAATAATATTCTTGTAATCAACTTTACCAACTTAATTTTAATTGGTCTGAATTGGTGTAATCATGCAGTGCCTTGATAAAGATCCCAATCTTGGAGCGAAACGTTAGCCTTTTGAGAATAAATACAAGACTACTGACCAGAAACCATTCGGTTTACATATTCTGAATGACTACGCATACTTCATTTACAGGAGGGCAACTGAACGATATAATAGTTTCAAAAAGACCCATAAAGTAAAAACAGTTGAACGATTTACAAAAGTATTAAAATATAGAAGCCCAAGCAGACAACACGAGTAAAAATTAGGTGAGACATAAGCGACACTCCAAAAGTAATGTAGAATATTTAAATTAAACAAATATAAGTACAAAAATTCCGCAGTTTAACTAAAATACTGTAACTAAACCAATATTATATTAGAAGGTATTCGTGGAATGTCTCTTTGTCCCCTTTTTAAGCTTCTAATAACTTCAATGGCCAATGTGATCTAAAGTCCGTAGTTTAACTAAAATACTGCAACTAAACACGATATTATACCATAAAAAAATAACGTAAAAAGCTCAATGTATCTAAAAGATTTTAAAAGGGTTTGAAGAATTCTTTTTAATTAATCATAAAAACCCGAAAACATAAAAAATCGACAACTATTTATTGTCCACGCAAGGAAAACATTGAAGTCCGCCTTCGTTTGATATGATTGATGATACTATTAAGCTTATAAAAACTGTTATTTATTTATATAACATATTACATGTATAAATTCATCATCATCATAGGGTCGCCTAAGATTGGTTGAATATGCACCCAAACTCCTTCCTACCTTGAACATTTCCCTAAAACTAGAATCCTTAACGATTACGTCTCACTTTTCAAACAGTGTCCTTTTTGGTAGGGTCGCTTATGTCCCCGAGGGAATCGCTTATATTTACACACATATATATTGTCCAAAGGTAATTAATTTAGAATTACACGCTTGGCCAAACGACTTGATTGTAAGCATCTTAGCCAATACTTGCACCCATACCAAGATCAATATCAGAGGTCCACAACTACATCGTCAAGATACATAAATATGAATACAGGATGAGTACGGTGATACAACAAATTAGAATATTTTTAGTTTCTTGTTATGATATAATAACACCAGAAAATAAGTTGTTAAAAAATAACTAACTAATATTGTAATATCCAGAACTGTATGCTACAATTTAACAATTTGTAAGCCTTTAAAGAAATTGTTGATGAAATTTTTATTACAATTTTGTACCTTAAAATTGCAAAAAGGTCTATTTTTTTCTTGATGATATACATTATCTACAAATAACTTATTTTGTATAAAAAGCGTTACGTTCTATTTTGCTACAATTTTGTAAAAAATATCCCTACATTTGTACAGAATTTTGGGAAATTACTACAAAGCTATTTTCGAGAAATCTGCTATTTGCTCATGCTATACGTAGAAAACTAAATTTTTATGACAACGCAAAAATTACAATTTTCGATTGTAAATGACTGAATTTGCCGTAGAAATAG